TTGTAAGGTTGGTCTAGTTTTAACAAATTCCCTTAATTTCTGCTTACCTGGACATCTCCTAAATTTCACCACCATATTGAGGGACAGTTTTACTGGGTATATAATTCTTGGTTGGAGATCTTTCTCTTTCAGGGTTTTATATATGCCATCCCATTGCCTTCTTGCTTGGATAGTTTCTGCTGTAGTATTGACATTTTCACAATGTTCAGTCTGCCTATTCACAAGCATGGTGTGTTGAATCAGAACTTATTTTTATTGGTTGTTCTTTGTAAGTAAGTTTTCATTTTTTCCTGTGCTCCTTTCAGGATTCTTTCTTTGTCTTTGGTTTTCATGAATTTGTTGATGATGTGACTTGGTGATTTTCTTTTGCAGTCTATCCTGTTTGGGGTTCGTTGGATTTCCTGAATGGATATATTCTCATCTTTCATCATATTAGGGAAGTTCTCTTCCAACAAATCTTGGACAATTTGCTCAGTGGTTTCATTTTTCTCTTCCTGTTCTGGAATTCCTATTACATGTAGGTCATTTCTTTTGATGGTATCCCACATGAACCTTAGGCTTTCTCATGTTGTTTTGTTTTGTTTTCTGACTGATCCCTTTCCAAAGATGTATTCAGTTATTTGTCTTCAGTCTCATTAATTCCATCTTCCATTGATTCAATTATATTCCCTTGCCTTTCAATGTGTTAGCTATTTCTGAAAATTTAGTATTAATCTTCTGAATTTCTATCTATCTCTAGATTTTGCATTATTTCTAATTTATCATTTATTTTGTCGTTTTGTTCTTGTATTTTCTTCTGCAATTGTTCTAGGGTTTTCTCTGTGTTTTCCTTATCTGTCTCTCAATACTTTGAAGATACCTAAATATAATTCTTTAGAATTCCTCATCAGGGAGTTCCAATGCTGCTTCTTCCTCAGGTATGTGTTCTGGGTCTGTATCCTGCTCCCTTGTTTCTACCACTTTATCTTGCTCTTCGTGTCGGCAGTGATGGTCTGTTGTCTCAGAGACATTCTGACGTTGTTGTATTTAGATCTTTGTTAACTGTTCATGAAGGGTGAGTCAGGCTCTTGTTGGTTGTTTATTTTTGGCCAATTGGTAAGGGAAGTGGTGACTGTCATTCAGGTAAGTGGAGCTGCAGGAGGTGTGGGTGCAGTTGTGCCGTATAGGCATGGTTGCTGTCTCCCACTCAGACAAAAACAATAATCAAAAAACGATCAAAAAAGTAAAAGCAAGTGGACAAAAAGCACACCACATACAGGCACAAGAACAATCACCAAAAAGAGAAAAAAGAAAAAGCCCTCAATATCTGGGGAGAGGGCAATAAGAGAAAAAAGGTAGAGTAGGAGAATAATGAAGAAAACAGTGTTAAAAATGCAAAAAGAAAACAAGGAACGGGGTTAATGACAAGAAAGAAAAAAAATGGGAACCAGGAACAGGGAAGAGAGAAAAAGCTGAAAACTAGAACCTTTCCAGTGTTGGTAACTGGAATGTCCTCGTGGTTCCCGGTAAGTGGACCCTATTCTTAAGTGCCTGGAATCTGGGAGAACGTTGTTGCTTTAAATATCTAAAATGGTTGAACCAGTTGTAAACATTCAAAATGGCTGCGCCCTATGGACAGGCCAAAGTCCACAGTTCAGTTGCTTTCCTCTTCTCTGCTTCCCCTTTTATTCACCAGCCACCAGTGCAGTCTTCCGTGCAGCCCCTGGCTAGCAGGGCCGATTTTTAGGTTAACTCTTAGGTCCTAACAGCAGTGGGCAATATGCAAGCTGTCTGAGCCGTCAGGATTGCTGCCTGACCGCAGTGCCGTGTGTTTCCTTTTTCGGGGTTTTCATGCAAGTTCTTCTGCTAGTTGGAGTTTAGTCCACTTCTGTGTCCTTGCCTTCAAAACTCAGTGGTCCAGAATTATCTTCTGTATCTATGTTAATTGATCCCTTTTTCTTTGTTGAAGAGGGTTTGTGCAGTCTTTCTGCCTATTCTGCCATCTCACCTGAACTCTGCTGCTGGCTTTTCTCTTATTTGGAGGAGCCCTGGGATGCATAGAAGGGCTCAGTTCTTATGAAGTCACCTCACCAGTCTTGCCTGTGACAGTGTGTACTTTTGGTATTGTTTTGAAGCATTCATCACCTAACCCAAGGTCATGGAGACTTGCTCTGTGTGTCAGTACATGACTTCTGTGCTCATCTGCTCAGTGGGGTGTGTGTGAGGGGCATGCTGGGCTGGGGCTTCCCATGGTCCTGGCTGGTGGGTGAAGGACCTCAGCAGCTCACCCCTCCATTGCCTTTGCCCCATGCAGTGGCCCTGGTGGTCCTGCGGTCCTGCTTCCTGTCTGGCCATGTCAGCTGGCACCCCCCGGCCTGGGCCTGCATGGGAGCATGTGGGTTCTGGCCTGCAAAAAAGCCCCTTGCTGCTTTGTTTCAGGAGCTCCCATTCTTGGGCCCTCTTCTTTGGTCCTGGTAGAGGTTGGAAGACATTTTCTATGGCCACACAGCACTGAATATTTAAATATCTCTCTGCGGTGTGGCTTCCCAGCGACCTTGGGCTCAGAGCAGTAGTGGCTCTGTCAGCCCTTTGAGACAGGCTCCCATCGCCCTGAGGCTGTGGTGTCTCTTCGGACCCTCATCTTGGGCTCTGTTGGGGTGAGCTGCCCACTCAGGGGCACGTGAGAGTAGAGGCAGGTCATTGGTGCCATCCTGGGACATTGGTCACGCTTCCTCTGCTGACCTCAGGAAGGGGGAGAGTATATTTCCATAATGCTAGGGGTGGGAAGGGTGGGGCAGGCCTGGGGACGTGTTCCCAATATGTTGGGTTTGGGGTAGGTGCCTGTGGTTATGTGAGGATGTGCCTCAGGCAGGTCGAGGGCCGCTTTCTAATAGGGGCCTCAGGGTCTCCCAGGAACTTTGACAAGGGTGATACCCCTAACTGGTGCATATAAATTTAACCAGCTACAAGGCCTGTTCTCTGCCATGCCGAATACTGTCCCTGGAAATTAATGCTGTGGCATGTCTCCAAAATGTGCATAGTGGAGCCCAAGCATAATAATTTATGTCCGCCCTTGTATACGTAAAGTCACCAACAGGCTCTTTCATGGGATTTGACCCCCTTCCAAGGGAGCCCGTTCTCCACCTGCATGGCTATGCTTGCCCTCCCTCTCCTGCATCTGCAGCCAATGAGGGCATATGTGTGAAACTTCAGTTGCCACATTTCCTGTAGCAGTAGGGCATGGAATATTTAAAACCTTGTCTAGATTGAGTGTTTAAACAGTGAGTACAAAGCAACATAAAAACATTTTATTGAGATGCAGCGATTTCTAGGTGGATTTTTGTCTACGTGATCGGTGCACTTACTGTGATGAGAAGCACTGTGGTCGATGAGGCGAGCCTTTGTTTCTGTAGCTGTCTGAGCTGGAGCGCTGCTTTTGGACCACACACGTGTGGGAGCGGTGTTTTATGCAGCTCCCTTGCATGCTGAGCCTTATCTGAGTCCTGTGCCCTGCATGGTGTGGGCTGTCACTGGACAGCTCTGTCAGGACTCCTCAGTCCTCCTTACGTCCTGTACTGCTCTTTAGCTCCACACGCTGTCCCCAGGTGCTCACACACACATACACACGTGTCCTGTACTGCTCTGTAGCACTACATGCTGTCCCCAGATGGGTGTCTGTGTGCGCGCACGCGTGCGCACACACACACACACATCCTGTACTGCTCTGTAGAACCACATGCTGTCACCAGGTGCTCACACATACACACACATGTCTTCTACTGCTCTGTAGCACTAAACACTGCCCCCAGCTGTGCGCGCGCACACACACACACATATACACATGTCCTGTACTGCTCTGTAGCTCCACCCCCAGATGCTCACATACACACATGCACAGACACACACACACATACACGTCCTGTACTGCTCTGTAGCACCACACACTGTCCCCAGATGCTCATACACACACACACACACACACGTTCCTTGCCTCCTGTTCTGTAGCACTGCTCACTGCCCCCTGATGTGCGTGCATACACACACACACGTAGCACTGCGTGCTGTCCCCTCTGACACACATACCCTCCACTCTCCGTACTTGCTCCTGTCTGCACACCTGTCTCTCTCAGCGTGTGGTCACTGCTGTCTTTGCCTTAGGCTGTTTATTGACCATGACGACGAGATAGTGTGAAGGATGACACCAAATTCATATCCGTCTCGTTTTACGTATCCTTAGAACTCCTGTATGGGTTTATTGGAGATCAGCGATACATACATTAGTTTAATTCTTGCAAAATGAGGCTCAGCAGGTCAGGAAATTCACTGCAGCAGTAACAGCAAATGGGGTTTACTGGTCATACCATCACCTGCGATGCATTTTCCCTAATGGAAATAAATTACCTGTATAAATAGCCTCTAGATGTTGTGTGTTGTTTCCAGTCACATAAATCGCAGTGTTTTTACATACAGATTTTAATGCTGGTTCCTAAAATGATCCCAGGCCCTTCTTAAATAATTGTTATTTATCTTAAAACACACCACTAGAATATAAACAGAAGCAGTGGGAACAGTTTGTTCTGCTGCTAAAATGTTTGTAAGACAAGTATCTGCAGAAGATGTCCCAGGAGGTGATGCACCCAGAAAGTGGCCTTCAGTCTGTGCCTTCCATTTGATATTTTACAGAGGCTCCTCAGCCTTGATGCGTGTGTGTCGTCCCAGTGCACTTACAGACGCTCACGCAGCCCTGCGTGCTTGCCTGCTCACCTAGAGGTTGGCAGTTGGCGGGGCTGCAGAAGAGAGGCCTGACAGTCGGTTTTGTAAAGACCACAGCCAAGAAAACCCCTGGGGTGGCTCTGCTTGTGACACATGGGGTCACTGTGCTTTGGAATCGAATCAGCAGCCCAGGGTTTTTTTTTTTTTTTGGTTAAAGTTTACAAAAGCCGAGCTACACGGCAGCCTTTCTGAGGACATGAGCAACCTGGTGAGCGGCAGAGGTGTAAGGTCTGTGTGGCCCTTGGCAGTCAGGCATTTAGGCACCGGGTCCTTCTCCGCAGCGTGAGCACTCTGGCTGTGTCGCTGGGCTTGCCTTTCTTTGTTCCTGGCTGGGCCCTCCCCGAGTCCTTCTGGCCTGGCCTCTTTTGTGCTTTGGGCTTGAGTGCACTGCTCTGGACGTCCCGGCTCTCTGTGGTGCTGAGCATGGGTACGTCCTGCTCAGTGGGGGACCCCTGGGTGTCGTGCTCCTCACCTTCTGTTCTGGCCTTCCCTGGGCTGTAGGCAGCCAGCTGGCAGAGGGCCACTGCAGCTGTTTGCTTCTGTTCCTCGCTGCTGTCAACCACACGTTCGACTGAAGTCCGCCCTCCTGGAGCCCGTGCGGTGGGCACTTCTGTCTGGCCGTGCAGTGGGCCTTCCTGGGGGCTGTCTGTGGTCTGAGTGGTGGTGGACCCTGCCTCCTGCAGAGGCCTGTGGAAGGACGGCTGTGGCATCAGGGTGTTGCAGGCGTCCCTCACGGAGAGGTTCAGGGGCGCATCCTGTAGTTCAGAGAAGTCCTGCTCACCCATGGCTGCTGGGCCTCTGTGAACGTGTCTGTGGGCTCCTGCTGCCGGCTTCGTCTCTGGCTTCTTGGAGAGGTTCAGTGGGGCTGTACTGGAGCCGTCCTGTGGGCTGGGAAGTGGGGCCTCCATGCTCTGGGAGAGGGGGTCTTCGTTTGTCACCTCGAGGCTAGAAGAGGCAAAGAGAAGGCTTATAGAAACCTTGCCTAGAAACATTCTAGAATGACTTTGTAACACATGCGGGTGTGAGCACGACCAGTAGCGCAAGATGGGACCGGGGAGTGGTGCATGTGGCGTCTCCTTACCTTCCTGCAGACTCGGCTTCGTCCTCCGGTGCCCTTGAGCTTGGGCAGTCTGTACCCTTCTGCATGGGCTTGAAGGTCGTGAGGGTGTGCTCTGGTGGGTGCAGCCTCTCCAGGGGGCTGGGGCCTGACTTGCTCGAGAGGTCACACAGGCCCTCGCATGTGTGGCTTGTCTGTGTGAAGTTGGTGGGGCTTGGCCTTCCCGGGGAGCCGGTGGCAGCACTGCCTGCCCGGGGGCTCATCTTGGCTCCCTCTGCTTCCCTCTGCCCATCTTTGGGGTCCTCCTTGGCTTGGGGACTTGGGCTTTCCTTCTCAAACTCTGCGTGCTTCTTGTGGGAGCTCAGCAGGGTTAACTTGGATGGACTCAGGGCTGGGTACACCAAGGTGGTCTCCTCTAGCAGGTGGGCACCGTGGTCTCGTGTGATTCCAGCTGCATGTGGGTGCTTGAGGCCATAGGAGGAGAAGGTAGAGTCGGGCCGGTAAAAGCCGTAGGGGAGGGGCAGACTGGCGTGGTACTGCTGGAAAAACCTGTAGTGGTCATATGTGGACGGGGCTGTGCCAAGGTGCTTGGGGACTGGCCCGGGGTGTGGGAGGAAATGTCTCTGGTCCTGGGCCCCGTAGACTGGCAGCAGGGGGCTGTCACCCTCAGGTGGGGTGCTGGGCAGCAGGTAGGGGGAGTAGATGGTGGCCAGTCCGTGCTCCGTGTAGAAGTGGGGGTGGTACTCTGGGAGGGGGGGCTGCACGTAAGGGGAGATGGGGCTGAAGCCTTTTGTGGATGGGAGGAAGGGTGACCCCGCCTTCCAGGGGTAGCTGGGTGCGTGGAATGCAGACTTGGTGTGGAAGGAGGCAGCCTTGGCAGTGGGGCTGGGCAGGGCTAGCATCTCGGGGACCTCGGTGTGCTCTGGCCGCTTCAGTCGGTGCTCCCCGACAGGAATGAAGGCTGATGGCCGGCTGACGCCCTCGAGGACAGGCTGGGTGCTGGCGTCGGGGACCGGGCTCTGCGGTACCACGTCCTTGTGCAGGGCCGGCTTCTGTGCCAGTGGCTTGTGGGCTGCACGTGTGTGCGGCCCCAGGTTGTCTTTGATGTCTTCCTTGGCAAAGCCATGCTGAAGCTTGGGCTCGAGGTTCGGGAGCGTGCTGGGGGCTGTCCTGGAGGCAGCGGGCCTGGCCGCAGCACCTGGCTGGCTCACGGGCTTCGGGTCCACAGAGCTGGGCCTTGGGCACTTGGGTGTGCGGTCCTGCTCTGACACCAGAGTGATGGAGTTCTTGCACAGACCGTACTTCATGTGGTTGAACAGGTGTGACTTCTCGTTGCAGGTGAAGGGGCACTGGAAGCACTTGTACTTAAAGGGCTTCCCTGGGGGCCTGGGGATGTAGTGTGGCTTCTTGGGCTTCCGCTCCTTGATGAGGCTCATCTCCCTGCTTCCGCCGCCTCTGCTCAGCGGGCCTGGTGCTGCTTCCTCTCTGCTGCCTCAGAGGGAGTCCATCCCGAGCTGGCCCACCTCCGGAGCTGTAGAAGAGGAGATTGTTAGTGCTGGGACTGGAGTGTGTGTCTTCATGTGTGGCTGGGGGACTGAAGACAGGTGGTTGAGATGTGGAAAGCATGTGCCAGGACCAGGTGGATGTGGAAGGCCTGCTTGTGGCACCAGCCCCTTGAGTTCCCTGCACTCAGGTGTGACCTTTGGCTTGGTCTCGGCAAGGAGTGGTGCTAAGTGCATGTGACCATTGTGGCAGCACTGCCCTGCCTGGATCTTTGGGGGCCTCTGTAATCTGGGGCTGCAGGGCAAGGTGAGCTGTGATCCCCTCTTGCCAGCATCAGGACCCCTCATCTGCTTCTCTGTGTCCCTGTTCTGTGAGGAGGGGATGGGGAATGATGGCATTGGGCAAAGTTGGGGTGCAGGGAAGCGATGTGGGGGAAAGGTCAGGCAGGGAGTGGGGGGCTGCGTCTTTGCAGAGAGCAGCTCTTCCTACTCCTGGCCTGGTCGCGATGCACATGTATAAACACACATGTACACACACACCCATGTCCTGAGGGGGGCAGTGTGGACGACAGTGAAAGGAACATCGCATGTGGTTTGTGCTCCTCGACTGTCCTGTACGTTCCACCCCATTGCTGGTGCGTTCTGCAAACGACAATGAAAATCACAGGGCATTAACCCATGACCCCACACTGCTGTGTCTAGTCTCTGTGAGAACAAGCAGGACTGGCAGTCCGTGCCGGTAGCAGGAGGCATTCACACTGTGCCACGCACAGATGTTCATGGTTGTTGATGCAGTGGGTTTAAGTACCATCTGTGTGTGCTGCTGTGTGCCACTACCCCCCGTACTGAGGAGCAGATTAACAGGCTCGCCCTGTCCCGGTGACCAAGGAGGTGCAGGTGTGGTGTGGATGGTGAGAGGCTGCGGTCAGAGAGGGCAAAGCCAGAGCAAGCAGGACTTGTTTTAGAAATGGTTGGGCTGAGATTCCAAGCTCTCACCCACCTTCAGTTTCTGCAGGGGCCCTGGACCATGCAGGCTCCTGGCCCGCAGCAAGCAGAGACTTGATGGCCAGCGGTGGTCACCAGCTGTTCCCCCCTCCCCCCAAGCTCTGGCTCCATGGGGATCTTCAGGGCTGGGCCGGCTCTTCCTTCTGCTTCCCCCCAGATGCTACCTCTTCCTTCTGCCCACTCCACAGACCTCCCTGTACCCCCGAGCTTTCACTTTGCCTCTTATCATGGGAACAGAGGGGCAAGGGCCTGGGAGGGGTTCTTCCGAGCCAGGCTGCTGGCTGTTCTGCGGGGGGGTGGTGTGAGGAGTCAAGTGGAGTACTTAGTTTAGAAAACTTAAAGTGTCTTTAGCTTCCGAACATTTTTAAGCATTGTAAAAAGAAAGATTAAATGGAAATACTTGGGGAAAACTGCCCAGCTAGCTGTAGTTTTGTTCTAAATGATGAGGGTTTGTGAGATTTTAGCCCCAAGGCACTGTCTTCTCAACAGGTGAGGGGGTTGGTGGTGGCTGTCCAGTCGGCTCTGGCTCCTGTCACTCTGTGTGTACGCCACAGGGTTTCCTTGGCTGTGACCTGTCAGAAGCTGATCACAGGCCTTTCTTCTCAGGTGCCTCTGGTGGCTTTGAACTGCCAGCCTTTTGGCTAGTAGTTGGGTGCTTAACTGTCTGTGCCAGCCATGGATTCTTCTAAACACAGGCATGGTTAAAAGATCTCACTGGGAAGCGGCATTTTAACATGGAGAAGCGTATGTGAGGAGTTTCCAAGACTTGTTCCCAGGAAAGAAGAGGTGGCCATCTGAATGCTTCTGTCCCCGGCCTGTGTGCACCTGCTGGAGGAGGGAGCAGGGGCGGGCTGACGTTCGGTTCCGATGCCTCCATGCCTTGGTCTTGGAAAGCTGCCTGCGTTTATTCTGAGCAAACTGGTTCCTCCACTTGTTTATGCGTGTGTCTTAAAGACACAAAGGACAGCATCCGCCCTCCCTAAACGGCCTCTGTCAGCATCTCCTCTTATCACCCTCTCTCTCTAAGGTCACTAAGAAGTGGTCAGATGGCACTCTGCTGCTCCTGAGTGTGTGTGTGACAACAGGAGGGAAGGAGAAGGCCTGCCTTGCTCTGGCACTGGAGCCGCCTCCCTGCGAAGTACGCCGGCCCGCTTGGCTGATGGCCTGCCTGGCCCCGTGGGAGCCATGGTGCCCTGCTTTCGACCAGTGCCCTGCCCTGCCCTGCAGTTCCTGGGTGGTCCAGCACCTCCTCTGCCAGCTCGCATCACTGCAGGCCCCTTGCAGCGCCGTGAAGGCTGTGTGTCGCTCTGATCCCCTCTCTCGTTAAAGGCAGGGATGAGAACTGGTTCTTTGTGCCTTCTCCCTGGCTGGGCATGGGCAGGTGTCCCCCGCTGAGACCATACTGCTCGTCTTACCTGTGGAAGCGGGACCCCGTGCTCTCCGGCCCTGGGCTTGCTAGCTGAGGTGGCTGGCTGGCTGGCGGGCGGGCGTGTGCCGGCATGCCCCGCTCCGCGAACCGGCTGGAAGGCGTGAGAACCTGTGTAAGTCAGGTTCCCACGATTGAGAGGATGTGTCATGGCAGAGATCAGAAAGCCGGTGATGTCACCACTGGCTTGGAGCATCATGTTCAAAATGATGACAGTTGCAAAACGTTTATCAATTGTGAATCCGGAACCTGGGATACCAAGTGTGAGTGCGAGTTAGCTGCCCGGCTCTCAAAGCACAGAGTGCAGCAGGGTGGCAGCGGGCTCCTTCTGCGTGAAGGCCGGGCATTTACGTGCTTGATGCTGTAAGGCCAAACAAGCAAGCAGGTGAACAGAACACACTTAAATGGGTCAAGTTTTTCTCAGGTTTTACCGGAGCTATGTTCTGTGTAAGTCCTCACAGTGTCACTAGAAAGAACTGTCCCTGTAGTGGTTAGGCCAGACACTGCTGTGTCTAGAGTCCCATCAGCCTCTAGCCAGATGCCTTACAAGCGTGGTGAACATGGGTTAAGGATTTGAAAGTAGCCTGGTGGGTCCTTGGTGACATGTTCTGGGGGGAGAGCCTGTGCAGTGACAGGGCACCAGTGGTCAGACTTTGGATAAATGGACAGCTTGGGCTCACCAGGTCGTTAGAACAGAGCCTGGCCGCCGAGCCTGTGGGAGGTGGGTGGAGCTCCGTTGTCAGAGCAGCAGGGTGAGAGAGAGGTGGGTGAGAGCGATGCCCTAGTGGGCCTCCCGCAGGGTTTACACAGTCACCCTGGCCACGGGCTGGAGCCCGCCTGAGTGCCTGCTGCCCCTGCCTGGTCGGTTTAGACCTGCTCAGCTCTGTCCTCTCCTGCAGCTGCTGGGGTAGATACTCTGAAAAGGCACTGTTGCCAAAACAGTGATACAGGAGCCTGGACTGTTTACCCTGGGGTTGAGTTTGCCTCCAGGGGTGACGTTTCCCCAGGGCTGCTAAGAGGGCTGTTCCCCAGGTCCTGTTCCGGCTGTTTCTAGCGTCAGTGCATGTGTGGAGAGGGGAACCTGCAGTGTCAGTGCTTTCCCTGGAGCTGGTGGAATCCTGGAGGACTTAGCCATGACGGAATGGTTCTCATGCTCCCCCCACACACTCGGCCCCGAGGCGTTGGGCAGGCCTGCTCCCTGATCCCACGCGGTGCCCCCGCATGGCAGGAGGGCTGGCACGGAGACCCCTCAGAGCCACTCGGAATGGTTGTGAAATGAATAGATGGCCCGAATGAGACAGACCCCATGCCCAGTGTGTGACACGCTCCCTGAAGGCCATGGAGCTGCAGTGGCCCGAACACACCCTGGCTCATTGTGGGTGTCTGCCAGTGTCCCTGTCACGTCTGACTCCGACCATGTGCTAAGTACCCCTGGCCAACTTGAGCTGTGAGGAGAGCTGTGGTGGGCTGTCCATGGTGCCTGGGCTGGGGGCTCCGTGGCCCAGGGCCTTCTTTGCATAACAGCCCACGGACTCAGAGGGTTTCGCTTGGCCACAGGCATTGCTTGTTTTGTGTGTGAAGCACTGCTGATGCAGCCACTTTCGGCAGCTCCTGAGTGTGGACAGTTAGTGTCGCTGCCTGTCGTTAGGGTCGTAGTGAGTGCTGGCAGGCTCCGAAAGTTCTTAAGGAGTTTGAACTTTGAAAAAAAGCTGAGAGTTTTTCTTTTTTTTTAAAGAACCCTGATAGGGCATGATGACGTTTAACTTTGTAGGACATGGCTGTGACGGGCTGGGCAGCCCTGCCACCCTGTCTCAACTGTACGCTGAGGCAGTGCTGCACCGCCCCTTGGAGGTGTCCAGTTGTCTGGCACGGGGCCTCACTGGGGAGAGCCCTGTGAAGGGCATGCTATAATTAAAATATTGTGATGTGGCATGATTGCACAACTCAAGGACACGCCACTGTCGCCTACCCACTGGGTGTTGCAAGAACAAGATTTGTGAGTTTTATTCCGATTGAGCTTTTCCCGTGATTAACCGCCACTCCCTCTCAGACTTTCGGTTCTTTAAAATGAGGATAAACCTCAGGAGAGCCATCAGCTAAGGAAAAGTCCAGTTTTCTGGAACATGTTTGGGAGCTCGGATCCAGAAAAGCACCCACTGGCTCTCGGCAGGAGGCCAGACGCGGGGACGAGGGGCTCAGCCAGGGCACACACTGGAGTGTTCTTTGTGGCACGTGCCAGCGCCCAGGACCTCGGCGTACCTGCCTCCCGGGGTCTGGAGAGGGTGAGGCTGCTGCAGCGGCAGGGCCTCGTCAGTGCCCACAGACGCTGTTGCAGCAGACAAGGACCTGTTTTCTTCCAGTGAAGTCTGGCTCTGCTCAGATTGGGCCAATAACTTGGTCAGTAATAATTCTCATACAGGTTTATGAGTAGTTTCATAAAAGGAAAAAAAAAGGAACCTTCTGTATAAGAAAGACCCTGTTTGGTTAAGCTTTGTTGTTCTAA